TCCAAGAAATTGAAATGAATTGTCGCAATGACATGAAGATGAAGATGCGAATAAGATGCCTATGCTGTAAATATGTGTGTGCGTGGTTGATTTGTAGGTGGGAGAAAAAGAGAGATTGAGTGAAGTGTTGAAAGCAGATTAGGATGGTTGGAATGGGGGAGAAATTCGGGTGATATTCTAACATTTTTGGGTTGGAATCTTGGAAGAGCTGCCTCCATAGAGGTGACGGTGGTGCCGACGTCGAGTGGGTAGCGATGGTTTTTGTTTTGCTGCAAGGGGTTGGAGAGGAAATAGGTAGGAAAGGAGATGGGTGGGTAGGAGGTTGTTTGGTGTGGATTAAATTCAGATTTTTAGTGGATTATGATAGAAATTTTTGAATGTGTGGTTGAAAAGATGTGAGATCCATAAAAAAGGTGATTGATATTGATTTTTCTATTTTGACTTAGATTAAAATGAGATTTTAAACAGGTCCAAACAGGCCTAGTTTTTATTCTTGATTTTACTATAATCATATTTCAAAGCCTACTGTTTTGGACCATTAACAATCTTCTATTTCAAAGGTTTGGAGTTGTGGATGACACAAAAAAAAAATTTCAGATAAATTTTGGGACAAATTCAAAAGTTTGGGATCATGGCTGCAATTTTCTTGAACTTTTATCCTCTTTTATTAATACTAGTGTCGGTTCGTGCAATGCACGGATGTTGTTATTTTGAGGGTAATGTTAGCGTTGAAGTAAATTTAGATATAATTTTATCTATAGAATGTAGTTATGAAACATTTAAAAAGTGTGAAAAGAAGACGGAAGATATTATATTTAAAATTCTATAAAAAAAGTTTATCTTTGGTTTTACCTTTGCGCATGGGTCTTTTCTAGCAGAAAAGTTCTCACTTTGGACCAACCAATGAAAATTAGAATTATCAGTTTTACACTTAGAGTGAGATAAAAAGTAGACAACATTAATGCCAAAACACATCACAAAATAAACTGACAAAAAAAAAAAAAAA